AGCAGCGGCTGCTGTTGTCGCTCACTGGAGAGATAGAGCGCGGCTTAACCGGGCCGCACCGCGTTCGCTGTGGCCGATCGACACTGGCTTTTCATTCTTCGCCGAGTAGGGGAAGCATTATAGAGCTCACTTGTGTGTTACCCCTGTTTGTTCGGCTCGATGTAAACGCATGAAAACTGCAGTTGTAACTCCGGCTGATCTTATGAAGGAAAGCCAAAGGAAGCAAGGAAGAACTTTTTTAGACGGGCTATTTTAATATTAACAGCTTCATTAGAAAAAATGTTTTGGTGAGTCCCTTGTCAGGTAAAAGAAGTAAGCATTTCATGTGTGTCTGTTTATGCACAGTTCACTTCTAGATCTCATTCATTCATAGTTAAATTTCAAACTTGGGAGTGTTCATTTATTTAAAAATAGAAAATAAAGCTGTTTGGGAAGATGTCCTGAATCCATTTTCTGAGCTCTTGAGTCCTCAGAAGGGATTGTTTGAACAAACTCTGAGTTTTGAGGCCCGTTAGACACTGTCATTCAAACTTTGGTGCAACTCTGCTGTCAGTTACTCCTCCCTGTCTTCGGTTTCCCTCTGCTCCTTAGTAACTGTTGTTCTGTTTGGTGAGTTTGTGGTGGTTTTCCTTGATGGTCTTTAAATAGGATTTTGCAGATTGGTGTTTTGAGTGGGGTAGTTTTTTTCCCTTCTGTAATTTAATTAGAATTTTGATATGCCACTATGTGAAAAATCTCATTCTGATACTTCTCATTTCGGTAAAAATACTAATTTTTTTTTTGTCTGTGGTGGCCCTGTCACTGAGAATTTCTACTAATAGCAGCCTTAAAACATTGTTTATATTCTTTAGCTCAACCAAATAATTAGAGCAAAAACTTTAAAAGTAAAAGCAGCATAATGCCTATTTATTTTAATCTAATCTTACATTTCATTATATTTTAAATTGGATGCACTTTATTTTTAATTACAAACGTAGAAGAGAGCCATTCTAGTGAATACTACATTGTCTTTCTTTTTTCAGTCAGCTTGCGTGCTCCCACTAGACTTGTTAAATTGGTGTTGCTTTCTAATGGCTCTTCAGTGTAAGCTACCTCCCTGCCGAGGTTAGTAAGCACTGTGCATGTCTTGTAAGATATGTTTGTATTTGTAAGTCAAGAAACAGCTTCTGCATCTTAATATGTGTGAAAATATGCTTAACTCTCTCTGTAAGTAAGCTGCTGTCTTGCAGCGCTTGTGGCTTGCTGCTGCCAAAAGTGAGAGGCCTTTCTTTGTGATGTGCTCCCTTGTATGAATTTTTTGAGATCCCTCCGTACATTAGTTGAGTATACTAAACCAGCAGAAAAATACTCTTGCTTTCTTTTCCTGGATTTGCTTTCTTCCATTTTAGTGAGTAAAAATTACTGTAAAGAGGACTGATGAGTGCTGGAGTTGGCACAAGGTAGGAGTAGGAGTCACTTGGGATGGAAGTGGGGACTAGCACTCTGCCCTTGAGGCACTGGTTTATTCACTTACCTATGTTTTGTGTAACCAAGCTGGTGATTTATCTCAGCCTACTCATTGTTTCCTAATATTATGTTTTTTTTTCTGAACCTTACATAGTTACATCACCCTTCTTCCTCTTCCCGCTACATTTCTGTATCCTCCTTTGTTACGCAGCACATGGTTTATTCAAGTTTGCATAGGAAAATTTTAGTGTGTGACTTTTTTAATGGAAGAATGTGTAAGGTTGTTCCAGGCATATGGCGGGTTTACGTACGTTTAGCTGGTACATCAAACCTACCACTGGGGGAAGTGAATGCACATTAGTTCTTGAGACTCAGATGAAATGCTGTTTCATGTAGCTCTAGGTCGCTCTTAGGGCATTACAGTATTGAATATATATCCAGGTTTTAAATGATCAGGTGTAACACAGTCATCTTTCCTTGAAGATTCCCCTTGAGCTTACTTGCAATCCAAAACCGAACAACTTGGAGCAATTGTACTCTGAGTTAAAAACTTACAAGTTGTGCTCTGAGAGATCGTGCAGTGCTTCTCATTTATTGCACAAGAAGGAATGGAGAACTGTTTTGAATGATTAGTCCGTTGCTGGCTTACTTCCGTGATTGATGAACTAATTTGATAACACCTAGACACTCTTATTTTTATGCTGGAAAATCCCTATTATGACCTCTTAGTAGATGTCATACAGTTTGGTGTCATGGTGTAGGTAGAAGATGGTTGTCTTTGGTCTGTGAACTCTAAAAATTGAACCTGGTCATGTAAGAACAAAGGCTTTTTACACATCTTTTTCCTTTCAGCATCTCAAGACGAAAGATCCGCTTTGTGTAGAAATAAGTGATTTCCAGAGGACAGCCCCAATGACAGAACTGTCTGCACATTTACCCCAGTTTCAGCATGGGCAGCTGACAGAAAACTTCCCTGATAACCACCTCAGCAACACCGTATGTAACAAAAAATTTTATTACCTGGTAGCAGTTAAATCAAGATGAATGATGAGTGTGGATGAAAATACAGTTCAGACCTCTGGAAATCTGTTTGCTGGGAGTCATTTTCTCTGTCTGGACTGTTGTGGTGATAAGCAGTGCCAAAAGAAATATTCTCTAAAATATCTGATGTTCTAAACTCATTTTTATATGCAGATGAGACTTCCACCAATTTAAAGTGGTGTTGGAGTGACCAAGCCCTCCAGAAAAATAAGAAAATGGGGTGGGATGCTCCCATGTCAAACATTGACCTTTAGAGGATTTAGTGAGCTCTCTCGATTTAGCCTGGCTGTGATCTGCTTGATTCACAGGTTTCTCAGTCACAGAGTTAAATTTTAGTCTAGTTAGAGCTTGAAGCCTGGGGTTTGTTGTTGCTGTTGCTGGAGGACTACTCTTGTGCAGGAAGAGCAGCACTGCCTTGTTTTGTGAGTAATTGTCAAGGTGCTCTCAGAGTTCTTGAGGTTTTGTGGGTGAGGAGGAACTCAAACCATAAAGTTTTGTATGATTGATTTGAAAGACCTAAGCATGTAATTGTCAGTAAAACTGTACTGGTTTTAATGCATGTGGCTGGGTAAAACCAAGTTTAGATGATCTGCTTGGGTGTGGTGCTCAGGCTCTTGGATTTGTCACGCTCAGTTCTTTGTTCCTGCTATAGCTCTTGAATATCAGGTTTCCTTGTGACACAGAAATGCCATTGTGAGGCTGGGCCACTTGTAAGTCGTGCTTATGGCAGTGATTCATGAGCATGTTTTGATCCCTGCTCCAACTCTTCTATACAATCCAGCAGTTTAAGTAGAATTATGAAAAATCTTTGTCTTTATCTCAGATCAGCATCCTGCTATATCAGTAAAACTATAAAACATTTGAAAGTTTATTTTTAAATTAAGAAGTCAGTCTGACTTAAGACCTTACTGATTATAGAAACTTAATAAAAATAGGAAAGTAGAAACTTTCCTGCTCCATCCTTTGTGTTTTTACTTCAGAGGGCATGAAAAAGGTTTCTTTTCATCTTGGACAGGTGACAGATTAACTTTTATTGAACACTTCTGCCAGATTAAAAAGGCAGAATTCAGTGATAAACTCGCCATCCTTACAGATAACTTGATGGTGTGCCTTCCCAGCAATGGGGGATGGATGGTTCTATTTACTTCTCGCTAACAGACTGTACTGATGAATAAGTACTACTGCTGCTTTTTCTTTCGATGTTTAAGTGTAACTCTAGGTGTAGTTTTAATATTCAGTTGTAATGATTTTTCTCCCCTGCACACATCCAGTTTGGTTTTGTGCATATGTTCAAAAATCCTTCCCTGCTTAAGCATATCTGGCTTCTGTGGCTAACAGTCAGCATGTGAAATCACTAAGTGCTATCATTTGCCATCTCTTCTTCCAGTCACACACCAAGAGTTCAGCCCAGTCTTCAATATCTGTCGCTGCAGAATGACCTTTGTTTATAAATGGTGTGTGTGAAAACTAGTGAAGTTTGTGCACAGTCAGGCAAGGGGGTCTGCTCCTGATGTATAAATGTGGATTTAATGAATAAAAACTGTGTATCAAATATGCTCATTTTTTATCTCTTGGCTCAGCGGCATTGCTCTAGGTTTGCTATTAACTATTTTCCTGATACGAAAAAAAAAAACCCACAATCATTTGCTTTTGATATTGCTTATTCACCTGAAAGCGCGTAGTTCATGACTTACGTTTGCTTACGGTGTTACAACAGGTGTTACTGACTTTTTAGCTTCAGAATTTTCACTTTTAACTATGTCTGAGGAAGGTGAAGAGTCTGTTCCTTTGCTTCTACTTCAGCAAGAGTCCATGGCCTCTGCTCTGTTTAATGCTGATCAGGTAGGATATGAGTGCACTTTGTTCTTTTAAGCAGCGGGGCACGCGCATGTCACATTTAGCTACACTTTAGTTGCCTGAAAGGACAATGTTATTCTCTCATTGGCTGTTAAAACTAGAAAAAGTCTTAAAACTCTTTTGAAGCTGATCTGGTTTTCGTGCACTGTCTTTTAGTATGTGAAGACATTTTGTGATTGTGTCTTTGTTCCTAACTAGTGAAGGGAATAAAATGGCCCATATTGGTCTAATTTCTTAAATTTTTCTCTCTATGTTTGATTTTGCAGATTTTTGTAGCTGTGTGCTAGTTAATCAGGCTTTTCCTTTGGCTGTTTTTGTGTTTGCTTTGCAAAGCTGTAAATTTTTATTTTAGTTTTTATATTTCTGTGCCTAAGATAGGGGTAAGTGCTCGCTCGTGCAGGACTACAGCAGAGGAAGAGCAACGTGTTCTGCAAGTGTGCAGAAACCTAAATACCAGGTCTGCTTTACTTGTGAAGTGTTCCAAGGCTCTGATCATCTCCAATGTAGTGTTACTTATGATCATCTTAGGCAGTTTATTTAGACAAGTAAGCTTATTATGGTCTTGTGTTAGAATGAGAGAAATGGACTCTTTTACTATCAAAGTAAAAAATGTTACATTTGAGCTATAGTCTGTACAGAAAGAGGTTCAGTTGCAGCCAGCATTTCAAAATAATTGAACATGACCTCTTTATTTTCATTCTCCCATATTCCTGATTCTCTCTGACTTTTGATAGTTGTATGTGAGGACTTCGTGCAAAATGCAAAGTGATTTATAATGAATCTTTCATTTAGTAAGAAATAATATTGAACCCATGATGTTTTTCAGGACATACTTTAAGTTAATGATGCTAAATTCAAATTAAGGTTAAAACCTTCAATTCTAAAAATTTGGTTTCCTGCTAGTTTTAATTGTTTAATTCAGATAGTTTTAGATAATTTTTTTCTTCACCTTATGTTCAGTTTCTGTTTTTGAAAAAATAAAGCTGATTTTCTTAGAGGGTGATTCTTGAAACCCTGAGCCTGAGGATACCACAAAAAAAGAAGTAACTACACAAAGAGTTTCGTGTGTGTTGTTACTTTGTAATGTTTGGTAAAAGCAAATTTTTCATTAGTTGGGGAAGTTGTAAAGCTTCAATCAAAGTTTTAGCAGTGTCAGTATTTGCAGTCCGGAGTCCAGGGACTTGTACTCCTTAATCACGTTAAGTGCTTTTGAAAACCTCACTGTGAGTTCCTGGGTGGATACTTAACATCATACCTTTTCTGAGGGTGGGGCTGGGAAAATTGTGTATAAAGAATCTCCAAAATTACTGATTTATGAAAAAACAGCAGTGAGTTAGTGAGATACAAGTCAGCAGTTATGTTTGGAAGTGCTATTAAGAACAGGTAATGAGATTTTAACATTGTGTGTTTGAGGAAAAAGTTACCTGCATAAGAATACTTAAGCAGAAATTCATTAGGTTATTTTCAATGCCCTATCTTATGTCTACAGAAATAACTGAGTGATATTTTAAAAGTATTTTAAAAGTATTGCAAAAGGTATCTTCCTTCAGTTTATCGTACGTTTTAATCTAAAGCTGCTTTAGTGCATTTACTCAAACTGAACTGTTTGTAAATGAACTAATTCTGAAGTGAGATTGATTTTGTAAGGAATCAAAAATCTTTGTATTACATCTCTTTTATGTCAAACCTCTTGAGTGGAGGGAATGGGAACAGTACAGTGTTGACTTTGGGCATGGTAATACAGTAAAAAAAAAAATAGTAGTCTGCGTAAACTGTTGCATTTTAGGGCTTGATTAGAGTGACCTGTAACCATTAAGTGGTTTTGTTTCTTTGTAGTCCAGAACAGGTGGATCACAGCTCACTCTCCTGTTGTGTTCTCTGTATGTGCACACAGCATATAAAAAGCTGAAAAGGCCCCTGCTGACAGGGCTTTTTGGAGAGGGGACAAAAGGTTTGTGATCCCAGGTGGAGTGCAGGCCAGATCATTTACTTGCAGGTGTTCCCGGTTTGTGTTTTTGCTTGTGGTTAATTCTGTTGAAAGTTTACTGCTGTCCTTGTGTTTGAATTATACCCTTGATGTTTCAAGTAGCAGTATCAGGAAGGCTAGCAGGCTCTTTCATATTTGTTGACAAGAATGGTGGAATTCCATGAGTCAGCAATGTGCCCTGTGGCCAAGAAGGCCAATGGCATCCTGGGGTGTATTATAAGGGCTGTGGTCAGTAGGTGGAGAGAGGTTCTCCTCCCCCTCTACTCTGCCCTGGTGAGACCCCATCTGGAATAGTGTGTCCCGTTCTGGGCCCCTCAGTTCAAGAAGGACAGGGAACTGCTTGGAAGAGTCCAGCACAGAGCCACAAAGGTGATGGAGGGGGTGGAACATCTCCCTTATGATGAAAGGCTGAGGGAGCTGGGTCTCCTGAGCTTGGAGAAGAGGAGACTGAAGGGTGACCTCGTTGACAATTATAAATACGTAAAGGGTGAGTGTCAGGAGGATGGAGCCGGGATCTTCTCAGTGATGGCCAATGATAGGAGAAGGGGCAACGGGTGCAAGCTGGAGCACAGGATGTCCACATTGACATAAGGAAGAACTTTTTCACTGTGAGGGTGACAGAGCACTGGAACAGGCTTCCCAGAGAGGCTGTGGAGTCTCCTTCTCTGGAGACATTCAAAACCTGCCTGGATGCATTCCTGTGTGATCTGCTCACTCTAGGGAGGTGATCATTCCCCTGTACTTGGCTTTGGTGAGGCCACACCTTGTGTACTGTGTCCGGTTTTGGGCCCCTCTCTAGAAGAAGGACTTTGAGGTGCTGGCGAGGGTACAGAGGCGGGCTACCAAGCTAGTAAAGGATTTGGAGCATGTCTCCTATGAGGAATGGCTGAGGAGGCTATTTAGCCTGGAGAAGAGAAGGCTGAGGAGAGACCTTGTCGCTCTCTACAACTACCTGAAAGGAGAATGTGGCGAGGCGGGATCTGTCTGTTCTCCCTAGTAACAAGCAATAGAACAAGGGGAAATGGCCTTAAGTTGCACCAGGGGAGGTTCAGGCTGGGCATTAGGAAGAATTTCTTGACTGAAAGGGTTGTCAGGCATTGGAACAGCCTGCCCAGGGAGGTGCTGGAGTCGCCATCCCTGGGGGTGTTAAGAGACGGGTAAATGTACTTAGGGACATGGTTTAGTGGTGTTGGTAGAGCTAGGACAAAGGTTGGCCTCGATGATCTTGAAGGTCTCTTCCAACCAAAACTGTTCTATGATTCTACTCTAGGTGATCCTGCTCTGGCAGGGAGGTTGGACTAGAAAATCTTTCAAGGTCCCTTCCAACCCCTAACATTCTGTGATTCTGTGAATTTTTTCAATGTCGGTGGAAGTATGTGGCAGTAGTATCCTTGGAAAAGGAGAGAAAGAATCTGCACATGGTGCTCATCACACTAAAACTTTGGGATCAAATCTCAGCATAAAGACTGAGAATTACCGGCGTTTGATCACCAGTTCTGTGTCGTTCTTCTTGCTAAAAATGTGGGAACACAATACCTCATGAAACTCCATTTTAAGATATGTTCTAGTTAGTGTACTGTAGTGGGAGTAACATGGTAGAGAAAGTAGAAATTTTCTTGGGATTTTCATGCAGTTAGGGTAATAAATGTCTGTTTGGCATTATTTCTAGGAACAGATATAGTTAATAGTTGTCAAGCTGTGAGTAATCTACTGTCATGCACCCTTTTATTAGCTGTAGTTTGGACCAAGGGACAAAGCTGTCTGTCTTTATTCAGCTTTTTAAATGCTATTTAAAGGAAAGGGAACATAGGCAGTTAGATGCAACCAGCCTACTTTCAGATGCTGCTGTTTTTAATATAAATGCTTCTAACAGAACCCTGTGCTCCTGTTCTTTTGATAACTACGTGGTGCAGTTGATTACTAGTGTTTTAAGTTCTGGCTGCAGCAAGTGTTCTTGACAGTAAATATTACCTTACACGTTTTTCCCCTTGAGATCATCTTTAGCTTAGTGTACAAGAAGGCAATTATGGTTAGTTACTTAGGAAACTTTTTTTATGTATTGCAGAATGACAACAGCGAAAGACGTCGCCATGATAATAGTGAGCGCAGAAGAAATGACAATCCTGAGTCTGAGACCAATGGGCAGCCACAAAACAACATTCAGCAAGTGGTGGAACAAGATGAAGAAGAAGATGAGGAGCTGACACTGAAATATGGGGCAAAACACGTGATTATGTTGTTTGTACCTGTCACACTTTGCATGGTGGTCGTTGTTGCAACCATCAAGTCTGTCAGCTTTTATACACGCAAGGATGGACAGCTGTATGTATCAATTTTTTTCCCCTGACTTTTCAATGGATTCACTTAGATAATTTTCTTTAATCTCCATTTCTTCAGGAGTCTAATTGAAGCAGTGAACTCCCTCTTGCCTCCCTTTTCCCCTCCACCAGTCCAATGATAGTTTTGTTTTATTCCTTCTGGAAACCAGGCTCTGTATTCGTGGTACTGTTGACATTTGTTGTCTGTCTGGTGACCAGTCAGATTAATATCTTGGTTGTTACTTCTTGATTCAAATCCTAGTCCCCATTTTAATACTTCATTGTACCCTGCCCTGTGGTATTTGTAAAATAAACTCAATCCTGAGCCAAAGCCTTTTCAGTTGTACTCTGCTAGAATACGAAGATTTTGGAAAAGGAAAAAAAAAAATTCTAATTTAAATGAAGTGACATATATGCCAAATTCTGGTTTGCCTATGCCGTTTGATAAAGAAACACAAATGAGGAAGATAGCTTTATGAGGTTCACTTCTGTTGCAGTTACAGAAATCTTCCTGTCAGGTTTCCTGTATAGATTTTATTTTTATTTTTATTTTTTTTGCAAAATACTAATGTTGCCAAAAAAAAAGCAATATCAGTGAAAGCTGATTTGAGAGAAAGGAGGTAAAGGAAGAACACTGAGCCTTTCAGAGCTTGCAGCAAATCAGCCTGAATGTTCCACTGTGAAAATGTTTAGACAAAATGATTCAAAGTGTTCTTGGCTTTGAAATGTTTGTATAATACAAGCATGCCATAAAATGTTTCAATAAAACAAAAAGCTTTTTTTCCACTATCAAAGTTGTTGATCAAAGAATTATTTTTCTTGAGATTTTATTTATGGTAAGTGCTTTCCCCTGCCCTCCCACACACCCCCCAGTGAAGTGAGTTTTTTCCCCAGGTGGCTGGCTGTCTTTAAGAAAAAGAGAATTGAGCCCATACACTGAAATGACAGGGGATCCTTGTATTGTAAATCCACTAGATGGTGTGCTTATAAAGGTCTAGCTGCAGTGATAGTCTAATGATTCATAGCATGTGAGTAGTTGTATCAAACAACGTGGAGTGCTGATTTTGTTTGTTTTACAAAGTAGAGAATAGCAGTAATCTAAGAATGTGAGAAAGGAAAGTCTCCTAAGGAAAATTTTTTTTTTTTTTTTAAAAATTAGAGTTTGGCTAATGTGATACTATGCTGCCATTCAGATTTTGCCTGAGTAGAAAATAGCTGTTGCTTTTACAGCTCTCATCTGAGAGTACTGCAGTTTCATTTGATGTTGGTCTCATATCAGAAACATCTGTATATTCAGTGGCATTTCAGTTGACTCTTTGTTGTCGTAGCATCTACACTCCTTTCACAGAAGAGACAGAGACAGTAGGACAGAGAGCCCTGAATTCGATTCTCAACGCGGCCATCATGATCAGCGTTATCATTGTCATGACCATACTCCTGGTCGTGCTTTACAAATACAGGTGCTACAAGGTGAGTATAAATAGAACTGGCTTGAGTAATTGTGCTAGCTTTGTTAGTACAGATTATCAAGAATGGAACAAAATGAAGGTTTATCAAGGATGAGTGAGCAAAAGTAGTAAATTGGTGAATCAATTCACTGTCTCAGTTTTGTGGCTTCTGTTCCTTTGACACAATGGGGAAGCAAAGGCCCAGCGCTAAGACTGCTGGGTGTTTGTCAGTTAGAATTAGGGTATGAAATGTACCATATAGTGAGGTCTTTCTGTGGGCAAGAACTACGAAGTACAGACCTGGTTATACAATTTGAAATCTGTTCAGGGCTTCAGGGGCTTTTCAAGGGTTCCCCTTGCCCCACCCTGCCCCCGGTGTAGAAGTCTCCCAACAGTGCAATGTGTGCATGGCTGTACACACCAGGCATTGTCCCCATAGCAAGCACAGAGACTTCAGGGCTCTTTTGTGAACGACTTCAATCATACAGTGATGTAATCTAAGCAAGTCCAGGCTTAGCATAAATAATTGCAATGTCACCTGCCTGGGAGAGGTTGTTCATGAAAATTCCTGGTTGTCTTTTGGTCTGAATGACCCATTTGACAAAGCTTGGCTAATAAAACTTCCCAGTGTGCAGCCAGAACCTTGAATTCTGTTTCACAGTTGTAAAACTGGCAGTGGAAATCACTGGCACAAAGCTTTGCTCCGCTTTATTTTGTTTTCAAAAGGGAAAAATGTCTGTGGGTAAAACCCCTTTACAAAGTGTCTGTGTAGCAACCGGGGAAGTTATTTTTGCCTGACTCTGCATACAGCTTGGAATAGTGTTTTTTAAAGTATGGACCTTTTGTTTTATCACAGTGTGGTGTTAAATCTGAGCGGACAAAAGTTTTCTTTTTGAACTGTCAGTTGTGTTCATTCTAATGAAGTCAAATAACTGACGTACTTCAGCTAGATTCCTTAGCAGCCAGTTGGTTCTCCTCAGGTGCTAAAGGCATCAACTAGTTTTTACTGAGCTTTTCACATTTCTGGCTTCCCTCTTGACCTTACAAAGCGCTGCATGTTCTCCTTACAAAAATAACTGTTGTACTAGAAAATTAGAATGATTAGACAACAGAAATTTCCTGTAGTTATGCTTTATGCTAATTGAAAGAATAATTAACTTATTTTTAGAATTGCTAACAGAGTATTTCTATGCCGCTATACCAGAATGCTGTAAAATGCAGTTACCTGTCCATTGAATTCTATTTTATGTGCAGTTCTGCATGTAGAACGTAGTCCAGATTACAGGGAATAGAACTTATAATGAAAGAATGTTAGGCCTCCAGCTGGTAGTGATAATTTGCTTATCTTCACAAGATTTTTATCTGAAAACGCCTTTGAAGAAAGGAAATATTATTTCAGCTTTACTGCTGTTAGTTTCCTGTATTTCTTCTGTATGTCATACGTTAAGCATGGGCTTGATTCTAGCTCCTGAATCTAACCAGAAACAGCATCTTCAAAGGTGGCTGTATTTGGCTAGCTTTTTTTGCTTTAACACATTTTATTATGCTCTGCATTCTTCATTGTTGTAGTCTGCCTAACCAAAATCTGTCTGCTATAGCTCATTTTAATTCTCTGCATTCTGCAATGCTTAGTTTACATTGAATTTGTAGCAGTCAAAGCCAACTCTATACCAGCAATCAATTAGTGTTGAAGCTGTTGTCAAGTGAAGAATGAAAATTCTCTGATCAGAAGGCAGCAAACCTGTCATGGTATCCTTCTAGGAAAACGCTGGCCAAAACTTACAAGAAATACTTTAGAAAAATCGTTTGTATGAAAAGAGGCCGGTGATCTGGAAAACGCTATAGCGAATGAGATACATGTGGAGAATAAAAGAAACACTTGTGTGTAAAATATTGCCTTACATCAACTCTTGAAACTACCTCCTTGAGTACTGTTGATAGTAGTTATGAGAAGCGTGTGTAAGCATTTGCTGGACTGTGGCCTTGGTGTTTGACATTGTTAGTATTTTACTAGAATGAAACTTTAGTGTTCACATTATTTTCTTCAGTGGTAAGAAAGTTTTAGAGCTTATACTACAATTAGGAAAACTACAGATAGAAGTCATGTTATTATTAAAAGAAATGACTCAGCTTGCTTTGCCGTTTTCTTAAAATAGTTGCAACTAGTTTTACAGAGAAATAAAATTACTCTTGTTGGGTCACTGATTAGATCTATAGGTAGCTTTACAATGTGTTTAAAATGTGGATTCCCTTTCAGGTACCTATCAGTCTTCTGCTTCTACTGTGGTTTTTTTTTTCCTCCACTTGCTATGAATGGTGACAGTTTGACGGACAAGACAGATACTTTGGCAGTTTTTCTGCAGCATCTTTATAGGCACTGTGCTTATTCCATGTGGAAAATTCTTAAATCTTTTTGAGAATACATTAGCAAGTATGGAAAGCCAATCTGTTAGATTAGCAAGTTAAATGACAGGTTTTATTAGGTTGAAGGTTAAATTTGAATCTCATTTGAAAGATAGTGTGAAGGAGGAGAATGAATGTTTCAAAAATTGCTGAGAATTTTAAAAATGCTTATGAAAAATTTAGTAGACAATTTACTAAATTACTAACTGTGATAGCTAGATACTTAATTTGCTGGAAAGTCCTGGTTGCTTCATGTAAACGTGATTCCTTTAGTCTGTGTGCATATGGGCTTTACTTTTAAATTAACTTTTGTAAAATATTAAAAAAACTGTGATATAAGATGCATTCTGCTACATATCTTTCAGAAGATGAGAAATGGATAACAAAATTTCTAAACAGTTTCTGAATACTTTGATCTGGTGTACATATATAGCTAATTTAACCAGTTAATTCTCCACTGAGCATGTCTAGTCAAAGCAGGATTTCTTATGCAGCTTGAATCTCAAGCTTATTGCTTCTGACTGTTTATCTACTTGCAATGTTGGTGTCTGGTTTTATATACAAGATTCTGTGGTGGGAATTTGACAAATACATGTTTTGTTCTTAGTTCAGAGATTGCCAAAGTTACGAGGCTCTTCAATCTTAGTTTTTAACTTTGCTCGGTAATATACAAGAGTGGTATGCACAGTGTAAAGTCTGAGTGCCTGTCATTTTCAAGTTTAAATCTATGCATGTCCATGCTGAGTCCGACCCTGAACTGTTTTGGTTTGGTTTTTGTTTTTTAAATTGTTGGGCATGTATATCTGTTCTCATATCAATTATGTCTATAGGTGATTGATAGGGAATATAGAAATCCTCAGATAGTCAGGCATCGATGACATGCCAATTCTGAATTCTAACAGATAAGCTCTGAAGGTTTTTCTGTGTTCCAGCATTTAATTCTATAACTGTATTCTGAAAATTATTTGGAATCAGAGCAGGCTTTTTAATTGTGCAAAAATGAATCATGTTTTCCATCTGCGTTATGCTGGATACTTCTGCTATGTTGTAATGCCACTGTTACCAAAATGGCTTAAAAATATATAAACAGTGGTTTTTGTTGAATAGAACCTGTACTGAAAGGCCACAAAGCACTTAAAGTTCGTAAGTGTAAATTGAAATCAATAATGTGTGTAGACTAAGTATGAATTTAGCAACAACCAAAGAGAGAGATAATCTGAATATCATTTTCTTGCTTTAATCAAAAGGGAAAATAACATTAAAAGCATTTAAAAATAAATATTAATTTTAAGATAACAAATATAAAAAAAACCTTTATTGATACCTTTTCTCTAGGTGATCCATGGCTGGCTTATCATTTCTTCTCTTTTGCTGCTTTTCTTTTTCTCGTTCATCTACCTGGGGTAAGTGAAGTAAAGCATTAATATACTATTTTTCAGGTGTCACTTCGGGTATGTATTTATTTTAGAACTGGCCCTTGAATCTTTAGAAGAATGATAATGAATAAGCTATTATAATAAAACTTTTCATTTTATATAGATTAATAGAGTACACATAAAAGAGAGAGGTATTTATGGGTTTATAGTGCATCTGATATTGTGCAGAAGCTGTCCATCGCATGCATCACCAGAATAAGCTGTCTTCCACAGGGTAGCTTATTCTCCTAGTGTATCTTCTGATAACTTAATCTTTCATAGCCATATGAATGAAGGGCTGTTGTTTACTTCATGGCTTTGATGGTGGGCTGTTTGCATGGGAGTGGCAGAAAAGAATCAGCTGAAAAGAATCTACTCTCTCACCAAAATATATTCAGTGTTTTTCTTTTCAAATTTGGAAGCATGCCTGTATCCACACATCAAGAAAGGTTGTACATAATACTCTGTATTCTCTAAAACAAGCAACCTGATCAGGGTTTGTAACTAGAGTTACGCCATGGAATTATTATACCGTGTATGTTTTTGTACAACTTGATGACAGATACACTTCTCTTTGAAGAATCTTGTTTAATTTGGTCTCTGAGGGGAGGAACTAGTGTTCCTTCAGTCACTAATTTTTGCTAAAAGTGCTGTGTTGCCTTTTTTGGTCAGTATTTTCTTTAACCTTAATAACGACTTTTGAAGTACAAGGCAATGTGCGCTGCACAAGTGCAGTGCAGGCTGGGTGGAGAGAAGTTGCCAGGTTGACTTCCTTTGGGTTTGGGTTGGAGCTGGCACTCTTCCATGAGCATGTGTGAGCAGAAGGACTGAAGGCTTTCCTGACACTCTGCTTTCCTTCACCTGTCCCTGCTGCTTCACAGCAGTGCTGGCTTCCTTTTCCAGAGATCCGGTGAGTGAGGAGGGAGCTTGTAGACCAACTAACTATACGTGATGGTGGTAAGGGGCATCCTGTTAATGCTGTATATGTCAAAGGCCAGCTAACAACTACAGAAAACAAATATCCTGCAGGAAAGAACCATGCAAATTATGAGGTTCTTAGTCACTTGATGAGTTGCTGGCAGCAGAATTTGCAAAAAGCCATCACAACTGTTTCCTGGGTCAGTGGAAATCACCTGTGAGTTGATGACAACATGTTTGTCTATTTTGGTTTTACTTATTGAGGGTCTTAATTATAGTATTTGGGGTGACAGAGTGACACAGTTCATCCAAGAAGAAAGCTTTTTACTTTAGTGTTTGTGGTGAAGAATAACATGGAATGACCATGTATATCTTTGAAGTTAGCAAAGTGTTTCCATTCCACAGGCAACAGGTAAATAGGGAGATCTGTTTGCATGCCTTTAAAGATCCATTATAACCTCACAAGTTCTTATTCTTCTGATTTTCAAAAATCATAAGCATAATCAAAATGACTGGTTTTGCAGTTAATGTCCTTTCCTGACAATTTCTGCTTTGATTGAGAAGGAAATAGAACATTAATGAAAATCTCCAGAAAAGTTAAAAAGTTGAAGTTGGTGCGAAGCAAACACTGGTAAAATTACAGAATTATCCTGTTTGTGAAGAATACTTGAATACTAATTGGAGATAGAATTTTACATTTGTGCCACTGCATTGAATATGAAAATTTTAAAAAATAAAATATTCTGAAGCTTTCATCTGTAACTTTTTTCCATTGCTTTAAGCTCATACAGTCCATATTCTTTTCCCTTTTTTTTTTTTTTTTTTTTTTTTTAGTGAGGTTTTTAAGACTTACAACGTTGCCATGGACTACATTACGGTGGCACTCATTATCTGGAACTTCGGTGTTGTGGGAATGATTTGTATTCATTGGAAGGGTCCGCTTCGGCTCCAGCAGGCATATCTCATTATGATAAGCGCTCTCATGGCCTTGGTGTTCATTAAGTACCTTCCTGAATGGACTGCGTGGCTTATCCTGGCTGTCATTTCAGTGTATGGTAAGGTCTGGGGCAGGGCCCAGTAACAGGTATTATGGTGGGAATTTCTTCTATTCCCTGACTTTCCTGTTTGTTTGACTAGACCTTAAAAAAATAGAAAGTGGGGTGGGGGGCTATCATCCGAAGTAGTGGAAAGTGATTACAGACTTGAGAAACAGAGATCGATTCTCTGCATCTAAGGGCTTTGTGTGACTGTGCGATGCCACTTTCCTTCATATTTTCTGGACTATCTTTGGGGATAGATTCTTTGGGGAGGAGAATTGAAGTAATTCAAGAGAGGAGCAGATAAGAGACCTATGTTGCCATTTTGATCTCTTCTATGAAAGTGGAGAGCTTTTGGCTTCTCATTTTCCCTAAGAATCCTCGGAAACTATTGTACTTTCAGAATTTAGAAGCTTGTTATTTGGTGTGTAGATACACACAGGTGTAGATCTGCCCAACCTACAAATTACTCAGATTTGTAGACATAGAAACAACACCCTAATCCATGCCTAATAATATACTGAGAAAGAATCAAGGAAGGATTAAAGGCAGTTTTCATTGCTCAGAGTCATTTTACATTTTAAGGATATGGTTTTGAGATCTGTTTCCTTGATTATTTTTTTAACAAAAAAAAAATCGTCTGCATATTACATACTACACTTTTTTAGAATGACAACTGAGGGATACCTAGATGTAGTTTTTTCATAAATCTTTAGAGGGCACTGGACACTTTTGGTACAAAGATCACTCTATATCCCAAATACTGATTTAGTTCCCAGGCAAGACTAAAATCCAGTTACTTACACTTAGTGATAATGATTTAATTATGTCTATCCATGAAGATGTGCTCATAACTTGAATTTTTTGGAAGCATGTATGATGAATGTGTACTCTGAAAGTCACTGATAATGATGAAGCCTGAGAATCTGTCCAGTTGTGGAAGTGCAGGGGTTAATAAGGTTTGATTAGCTCTGGTAGGTCAGGGTACTCTGGTGTCCTTTTCCTTTAGAGGGAGGAAAGATGTCCCTCGTGTGTATGCTTATGGATCATAAGGCACATCAAGAAAACCTTCCCATCCCTCCTCCCCACTTCTACCCTTAGTCTGACTGGAACAAATCTGAATATTCCAGGCATTCAGCCTTCATTCAGATCATATTCCAAGAGCATAACGTGGTTGTTCTGAGTGAAGGAGAGGTAAGTTTCAAAGCCTGTGGCCCCATGCTAAGCATGCTTTACTTGAGCAGGACCAGCAATGGTGCTAGGGCAGTTAGCTCAGGTGTGGAAGGCCTCCTCTGTGCAACGTACAGCTCCTGACAAGTAAGCTGTTGCTTTGGTGTCAGATTTTGTTTCAAATTTATTTAAAGACATATAGTGGGTGGACAACTGTAAAATATAATAGTAAGGTCAATATGTAGATGTTACAGCTTTCTGTCTAAATATGCAAGACAAGGAAAAAGTAGCTGAGGTTGGTTGTGGAGTTTCAAATTTCATTAACAAACCATCAGCATTCAGATGAGAAAGCAAATGGAGCATCTGATAGATCAGTTTTTCTTAATGCTGTGCTTTGATCTGTATGAGTAACTTGTACAGTCATCCTCTTTTGTAAATGGTTGCTTTTCAGTTAATTTTTACTTGTTCACCCAGTTTCATATGCTGTCCCATGAACAAGAATTGAGGGAAGTAACAAAAAGCTGCTATTCTGTTCTTACGCTAAATATGCCTTGAACACCTCTCGAATCTATGCAAACACAGCATTTTTCCACAATGCTTAATAAAACTGGGGTTTTTTCCTCTTCACATGCACATTCACTTTTTTCCCTCTTTAAGTGGGAGTAAACTGACAGTCATGCCTACTTCATAGGAATTATGCAGTCACTTACCTGTTGTCTTAAAATTTGTTTTAGCATTAAACTTGGGTTAAGAAAAGCTTTGATAATAGAAGGCAAACTTGGATATTTCCAAGATATTAATTGAATGGTAGCTTTCATTAATTATTTGCTTTCAACTTGCAAGTCAACATACAGAGACAGATACATTTGCAGTTGCATAATATCTTAAATGAGGAACGTAATTTTTAATTTGTATACATATTACAGTAATATGTAAAATAGGTTGTATAACTGAGAATATTAAAAAATTACTCCTGTAGTATACTGACTTGTGGCCAATCACTCTCTTGGAAGTCTATGTTCAGGGTAGCATTTTATCTTATTACCAGTCTCTGCAAGTGTTATTAAAAAAAAAAAATTATTATACATATGTCTGCAGTGATGTAAGATCTGTTTGCTCTTCCTTTCAGATTTGGTTGCTGTCCTGTGTCCTAAAGGTCCTCTTCGTATGCTAGTTGAAACAGCTCAAGAGAGAAATGAAACTCTCTTCCCAGCACTTATTTACTCCTGTAAGTATCATAGAATCATAGAATGGTTTGAGTTCGAACCCCCCTGCCATAGGCAGGGGCATCTTCCACCAGACCATGTTACTCCAAGCCCCATCCAGCCTGGCCTTGAACACTGCCAGGGAGGGGGCAGCTACAGCTTCTCTGGGCGACCTCTTCTAGTGCCTCACTGTAAAGAACTTCTTCCTAATATCTAATCTAAATCTACCTGCTTTCACTTTGAAACTGCTACCCCTCATCCTATCACTGCCCTCCCTGATCAAGAGTCCCTCCCCACCTTTCCTGCAGGCCCCCTTTAAGCACTGGAAGGCCGTTAGAAGGGCTCCCCGGAGCCTTCTCTTCTCCAGGCTGAACAACCCCGGCTCTCTTAGCCTGTCCTCCCAGGGGAGGTGCTCCAGCCTCCTGATCATCTTCATGGCCTCCTCTGGACCTGCTTGAGCAGGGACTCCTGTTTCTTGTGCTGGGGGCCCCAGAGCTGGATGCAGCACTGCAGGTGGGGTCTCATGAGAGCGGAGTAGAGGGGGAGAATCCCATCCCTTGACCTGCTGGCTGCACTGCTTTTGATGCAGCCCAGGATGCGATTTGCTCTCTGGGCTGCGAGCACACATTGCTGGCTCATATTTAGTTTTTCATCCACCAGCACCCCCAAGTCCTTCTCCCCAGGGCTGCTCTTGATCCACTCATTGCCCAACCTCGACCTGGGCTTGGGATTGCCCCAACCCAGGTGCAGGACCTTGCACTTGGCCTTGTGGAACTTCATGAGGTTTGCACAGGCCCACTTCTCCAGCCTGTCAAGGTCCCTCTTGATGGCCTCACTTCCCTCCAGCCTGTCAACCACACCACACAGCTTGGTGTCATCAGCAAACTTGCTGAGGGTGTGCTCAGTTCCACTGTCTGTGTCGCCAACAAAGATATGAAATGACACCGGTCACCATACCAACCCCTGAGGAACACCACTCGTCACTGTTCTCCACTCAGACATCAAACTTGACCATGACTCTTTGAGTGAGACCATCCAGCCAATTCCTGATCCACCGAGTGGTCCATCTGTCAAATCTGTGTGTCTCCAGTTTAGAGAAAGGATGTAATGCGGGACAGTGTCAAATGCTTTGCACAAGTCCAGGTAGATGACATTAGTTGCTCTTTCCTTACCCACCAATGCTGTAACCCCATTGTAGAAGGCCACCAAATTTGTCAGGCACAATTGGCCCTTAGTGAAGCCATGCTGGCTGTCACAAATCACCTCCTTATTTGCCATGTGCCTTAGCATAGTTTCTAGGAGGATCTGCTCCTTAATGATGCCCAGCACAGAGGTGAGACTGACTGGCCTGTAGTTTCCCAGGTCTTTCTTTTTTCCCTTTTTAAATATGGGGGTTATGTTTCCCCTTTTCCAGTCAATGGGAATTTCACCAGACTGCCATGACTGCTCAAATATGATGAATAGTGGCTTAGCAACTTCATCTGCTAGTTCCCTCAGGACCCATGGATGCATCACATCAGGTCCCATGGACTTGTGCACCTTCAGTTTCCTTAGAGGAACATATGTGGCAAAGTACATTTTGTTAAATACTTTAAACTTACAATCACCCACTCAGCTGAAGTGATTTTTTCATTTTTCTGTGTTTTAACATGATGCGTGTCATCTGGAATTCTTAGTCTCTTTGCTTGGGCCTCAGTTTTCCTTTCACTGTTGACTCAAAAATTTGGAACATCATCTGGCTAAGATCTTTCAAGATAAAAGCTAGCATGTTTTGTTACAAAATACAAACAGGAAAAATGATAATACGCCTTGTTTTGGCCAAAGTAGTTATGTCATTAGGCTGTGAATTAAGCCTGTTCAAAGGGAGTACTTGTTTTCAGAAAATATTTAGAAGTTTTCATGCTTAAATAACCTGTGTGTTACTGGAAGGAAAGGGACAAATTGCCAGGAGATTCATTTACAGAGCTATTTTTCCAGGGCTTGTCTTTTTTGATACCTTGTCTCTCCCTGCAGTTGCAAAAAACAACCTACTGAATGCAAATTGCTGTTATGACCTGTGTATCAATTAGTACAGAATTCCACTCTTTCTGAAGTTCCATGTTGTTAGTCGTAATCCTGTGAATAAACAGTAAAATAGGTTAATCATAAATCATTATGTTACTGGTGCTCAAGAAAGGCCTGAATTTGGAAGCAGGAAGTGTACTGTAGACTGGCTGCTTCAGGGATGAGTTTATGGTGGAGGAAGGGGAGAGTTGCCTTTATCTGTCACTTCTGCTCCATTTTACTGATACTGCTCATAGCTGCCTGTTGTTCTGTTTTGTGGAAGGAGAGTTTAATGCTGAGAAACCACAAACTTGAATTAAAATACTCCATTTAAGTGTGACATTTTGTTACCTCCAGATTGGAGAGTTCTTTGTGATGGTGGGGGCAGGGAACAATTAACTTTGATGCAGACACTGCCTCTGAATTGAGTTACCTCAGTATCAGTCTTAATAGACCTTTTTACTTGCAGATAAAAGAACTGATTAATGGAAAAAAGTAAAGAAATTGTTGATTTGGATTTTCAGAGTGGGCCTCCTGTAGGATGTAATTTCTCTGGCAACAGCTGTTGCCATTTTTTTCCAACACCTAGTAGCAATAAAACTTTTATTCACCAAATTTTATAAAAGCGTGTTGTAGCTGGTACTGGCTATGTTCCAGATTACTGTGCTTTAATGACAGTAAAATTGCCTGTTGCAAAAGATGGTTGTATAAAAAAAAAAAAAAGGAATGGATTGATGCCAGTGCTATCTCAGAATTGCATACATCTGAAGATATGATTAGCTGTGCTGGGTTTTGAGGTTTGGGGTTTTGTTTTTAATAGCAACAATGATATGGCTAGTGAACATGGCTGAGGAAGATCCAGAAGCCCAACGGAAAGCTTCCAAAAACTCCACTTATGATAAACAAGGTGAGCTTTTCTTTGACAAGCCTTTATAGTTGTCATTTTATTGGAATACATGTTTATGGATACTTGGTTTTTAGCTTTTTAAGTCTCCTGGCTGCTGTAGAAGAGTGAAAGCATGGAGGCCTTATTAGGAATGGTTAATCTGTCAAGACTTCCAAAAATTGCTTGCTTATTGTGCTGTTAATGTTCTTGCATTTATTTTTGTGGGATCCAAGATGTTGGTGGTGAAATGCCTCTCAATAGGCAACTGTTGACTGAGCTCAGTTCCTTGTCAAATTAGGATGATAGAGTATAATGATAACTCTCTTATATTTGTATTAAACAGGAGTGGGTCTGGCCCTCTTGGCTATGCAGCTAGTGTTTAAAAATGTGGTGTTTGTTTACATGCATTATTAAAGCAGATCAGAGTTTCTGAATTTAGCATGCTTGAAGGGGTATGTATGTATGTTTGTAATTTTCAGTAACATTTTCTATTTTACTATTCTGTTTCTATTTTACTGGAAAATTAAGCTGTCAATGTTGACTAAAGAAGCTAGTGAAGTGTTAGATGAGAGTTTATTCCTTAAACTGTGATCTTTAAATTAGGTCACCACGGAACTTCCACTCTGTTCTGTTAAAGTACTCCTGAATGCTAGGACTTGAGTGCAATATGTAGATGCTGTGATTGCAGAGTGCACATTGACTCCTGATTGTTTAAATAAGTATTTAAATCCTAAGTGAAAATGTCTTGTAATGGTGTGTACCAATGTTAGATGTTGCTAAATATTATGGAGTACCTCTTTTCTCCTCATTCTATGATCTTACATGGGGAGAGATTGTCATGTTTTAGAAAGCACATTTTTGAAGGAGATCTTAAATGCCTTTCTTCCTTTGAGCTCCGGCAAACCACACTCGGAGTGAAGATGCTGAAGCAGATGATGGTGGCTTTAGTCAGGAATGGCAGCAACAAAGGGACAATAGAATAGGACCCATTGAATCAACGCCTGAGTCACGTGCTGCTGTTCAGGCTCTACCCAGTAATTCTCAAACAAGTGAAGACCCCGAAGAACGTGAGTATGGAGTACTGTGTCTGAAAGACTTTGTAAATCTGCAGCTAGTTAATCTTAGTCTTAGTCATCCTGACTGCAGAGATAGAGTATGCTGTGAGCTAATAGCAAGCTGAAGAGCTGCTCTTGCTCATAATCAATACTGACATGCCTCATAGAAATAGATGGAGTTGCTTTTTTGGTAGCTTTTGGTGTCGATGCAGGAGTGAGTGATATTGGCCGAATTGGATCTTCAGTTTGATACACAGACTCAAACCTGCAATAGCACGAGCTGCTTTCAGACCATTACACAGTCAGTTGCATTAGCTTTTCTGTTTTTCATGCAGTGTTCTGCTGTGTGTCACCTCTTTCGGATTTAAGGCCCCGTAAATGCACTCATAAATGTTTTTGCTTCAAGATTAAAGTACTGTAATCCACTCTGTAGAAAGCAATGTTTAAAACCTAATTGGAGACTGAAATGAATGCAGAATGCCATGAACTTGCTTAGTTTTCTCCAGCGTCTTGCTGAGGTGCCAGTATCTTTGGAGAGCATAACAGTCTTGTGATTTCCAGTTGGAGTTTAAGCTGCTATTAGATTTGCAAAGCTCTAAACAAATTAGGGTCTGCCTGTCTAATAAATTGCTCACCGTATGTGGTGCTGCCGTATTTAGGAGGTGCAACTGCTTCCTCTGATTCTCAGGTGCTCCTCTGAAAATTCAGAGACTTCTACTTTGAGAACAATTTTAGCATTTACCAAAAGTTCCAAATTCAGAGTGTGTTGCAAATCCATTTTCATTTCTAGAGCTTAGAAAAATAACATTAAGATGCAAAAACTTAGAAACTGTGCCTTTTTAGTTAGTTAACTGGTTAAATAAATCTCTTGTCTGGGCAGACTAATAGTTTTCTCCTTCCTGTATTCCTACAGCAAATAGTAATGACAGATGTGCGGTAATCCAGTCAGACTTGTCAGCCAGCATTAGCTTACTAGAAGTTTGGAGCAGCTGATTAGAAATTTGGAGGGTTCGCTTGTGTGGAAGGAGTTATTTGGCAGTTGCCTTTGCTTATTGTTGCTGCAAGCAAGCACCCAAGTTTTATTTCAGCAGTTGAAGGGTGTTTTAGTGCTTAGAGCTTTTCATGAATGCACTGTTTTAGGCCATATATTGGAGGCCTGCCAAAAGAGAGTAGGGTTGTCTTTTTTTTCTTTTCTCCTTTTTTTTCTTTTTTTCACCAATGATTAGCCAGGCATACACCTCAGTTTTGATGCTCTGAGTTCCTCTTAGAACTCTGAAGTGAGTTTTGGGCTGGACTATAATCAGGTGATAAAGTAAATCATAGGCCACATGAAAACAGCTGGTGACCTGATGTTGGCCTCTCTGACTTAGGATCTTGGACTGAATGCTTAGAAAGTGAACTGGCATTCAGGAAATCTTTGTTATTTTGTTTGCAGAAACTGATCCCACAGTAGTTGTTGCGAAGGTGGTAATTGCTATTTAAAAGAATAAGATATTGACTCGTGATTTTTTCCGAAACCTCATATCTTGGACTAAATATGTTGGGTTTTTGCCTCTGTGATATGCTCTGTAATTACACACAATGCTTTTTAGAACTACCTTAGTAAGAATTCTGTAGGAAAACTGGGAGGGCAGTGGAATATTTTGCTGGGTATAGGTTTCTAACTGGCAAATACAACACTACCTGCAAGGGACAGACTTGTTTTCCCCCCTCCCTTGGCCAGCTTAAAGGAACTCTACTTACATATTCTGTTGAATATGACATGACAACCAAAAATGGACACTCCCCCACGAAGTATAATTACTGAGTTTGTCTGCATTGCATTTTTGCGTACAGGAGGCTAGGGATATAGAAAAATTGTAATTATAGGATGAATTAATTGGTGGTGTAATGTTCCTAAGACATCTTGTCTCACAAAAGTTTTTCTTCTTCACTTGATTCAGGAGTGGTACTAGTTTTGAAAATAAAATGTTCTTATTAGCAAGTCTTGTTGATACTTAATGTAGATCTATTGTTCTCTGACAGTTACTGATATGTAATATTAGTAGACTGTCTGATACTTAATGCTGCTGTATATTCACTTTTGCAGGAGGAGTAAAGCTAGGTTTAGGAGACTTCATTTTCTACAGTGTCCTTGTTGGCAAAGCCTCTGCAACAGCAAGCGGGGACTGGAATACAACTTTAGCATGTTTTGTAGCCATACTAATTGTGAGTATAATGTAGTATTATAATAGGGATAGTTTCTATTGTTCATCAGGGACAAAGTCGTAACTGCTACATTTTTTTCTTTGGAATTCATTTGTTTGGTGGCCAGACTGAAAACTGATGAGGGCTTTAGCTGTGATCTTCATTGGCTGTACATCTGTCACCTAAGCCTTTAGTTTAGGAAGGCATGAAGTGTGTCTTGTATTTCTGTGGGGTTAATATTTATATATATGTATATATATATATAAAAAAAATCTTTTGCTTGTCAGAGTTCCCTAATTTCTTCCTGTGTTTCTTGTTTGTTTTTTTTTTTCTTCTCCTCAGGGTCTGTGCCTTACACTTCTGCTTCTTGCCATCTTTAAGAAGGCCTTACCAGCTCTTCCAATCTCCATAACCTTTGGGCTAGTTTTTTACTTTGCTACAGATAACTTGGTGCAACCCTTTATGGACCAGCTGGCGTTCCATCAGTTTTATATCTAGCACACTTGATGCTTGTATTCTATGGATATTTGTAGCAAATCTGGGAGGAGGAAAAATGTTTTTCCCTCAGTTCTCAAGTGAGACTGAAGTTTAATACTCAAGATTCCAAGCCTGAATTATTACAACTTCCTCCGATGGTGGGTTTGTTGTTTGTTGTATTTTTTTCCTGAGATAACTGTTGCACTGGGCACCATATGAATTTTCCTGTGTGAAAGTGGCTTCTTCCTGATGGCCGGTCTAAACCGGGTGCTATTATATCAGAGGTAATCTGATACACATGTCTCTGGTAAGGACTACCTGTGTGAAAATTGCTAATGCTTCCACCAGCAATGTGATCTCTTACCACAGGTTGATTGTTTTCACAGCATTAAGGGTACTCAGGACTTCCTTGGTGTTAACAGAGGAAGCTGACAAACCACATGGAACTTGTCCCTGTAACAGCTTGAAGAGAGGGAACCCAATTCAGACTTCTTCAGCAGTGATTTTTTGACAGCGGAGTCCTGACTCTACTTTGTGTAACGAGAAAGGACTTTGTAGCAATTCAACAAAGGGAGAAAGTACTGTCACTCTAAGAGTGCTCCACCACTTCGTAGCCTCTGTGCCTGAGTGTGCTTGGTTTAGTAAATTTAAAAGCTTTTTTTTTTTTTTTCCACACTGGAACTAAAGCCTCTTCTCAGTTTTAACACTTTATATCCTCAAGCATGGAGTGCACCTTCTGTACACCTGCTCCAGTTTATGTAGCTACTTAAATCTGGACTGAATTGTTTGGCATTAGTGGGTCATAAGGTCTTAATTTGGATCTTGGATTCTAAAAGGTTAATAAAATACATTAAAAAGCAATTTCAGGACTTTGTGCTCTTGCAAATCATTTTGCCAGAACACCGTTTCAAACCCTGTGTTTGAGAATAGTCACTAACAGCACGGACTGCATTGTTGGTATATGTTCCTTTTATTGAAATTATTATGAAATAAGTAGACTTTTACAGCAATCCCAGATGAAGTTTAGCTTGCCATATCTACAGGCCAAAGTGCTATTGGTAGCACTTCCAATGCATCACTGAAATTTTTCCTCTTCAAAAATGTGGTTTACAGTTCTGTTGACCTGAAGTGTTGGTCACTCAACTGTCTAACACCTCAGGTTGGGCAGGGATTTTTTTTTTTTGGGCAGTATCTTTATCGGTGATGATACTTAAGTTAGGTGAGACATTACTTAATGTTACCAAGGAGCAAAATTTGTGGCCCTCTTCACTTTAATTACCTCTCCCATGAGGAACCGAAGACCGGAGAAATTAAAGACTAATTCAAAGTCGCTGAAAAGAAGATACAAGATTTTTGGACTTCTTACAAGAAAATGAATTAATTCGAACCTTAAAACTGCTAAACTCTGTTTTTGTCTTCATTTGAAAGAACTCGTTTCTGAGTAATTGCTTGGAAATGAGACTTCTGTGAGATGAAGTTGGTTTTGCCGTAGGCTCTTCTCTGTACAAGTAATTTTTTTTCTGAGGGAAGCAAAGGGAGTGGATACTATTGACAGGCATGCCATTTTACTTGCATCTTGATACTGGAGTCCTTGCCAAGTAGAACAACTGTCAAAATCCTGATGCAAGCTCCTCTTACCTTTTTTTGCTGGGGCTTTGTTTCAGTGCCTATAGATTCAAAGGACTGAGACATCACAGATGCTCACCAACGATTGCCCAAATAAGGGAAGAAAGGCTGTGATGTATAAATCTGCTTTAAAACCAAGAAAGGCTTGCTTTGATTGTCCTTGGAAACGTCTGTCTTTTCCAGTATGACTTGCTAACTGTAGTGTTGGCATTTACATTTTCATAAAATATATTGTCTTGTCTCCTCTAAAGTACTTTTATTCATCTCATTTTTGTGCTGATTCGTCATGGATAGCATTAATAAACTAACCATATTAAAATTGGTAACTCTGACTTTTCAAGTCAAGCTTGCTTGTGTTTTCTAGCTTAAATCACTGTTCCATATTTTTCTGCAATGAACCCAAACTTAAAACAGGTTGGTTGTTTTTTGGTGTGGTGGTGTTTTGGTTTGGTTTGGTTTTTTTAACAAGATTTTGAGTTGGTTTTATGCTATTGTAACTTGTCCCTTTCCTGAGCATTATATCTAAGAAAATTCCCTTGTGTGTTTTGCTGGGCATCCTAACTTGTGTTTCATTGCATAGAACATGTTTGCTATGAGTTGGCATCGCTAGCATCTCTTTGCTTATCTGAGCCGACTCTCAGTCAAGAGTCATTACTTAAATGCGGCAGGCATCTTTATTGTTTGGTTTTTTGGCTTAAATATGCACCATGGGAGCACTAGCTCCATTAAAAGTTGCTTTAGAATCTATAGAAATGCACAAAAGCCTTTCCACATACTTGAATGGGTGTTAGATGTACAACGTAAGGAAGAGCTCAGAATCTTCAAACACTACATTGCTGGTCTTCCACTCCTCAGAGCTGCTTCTGCTATCATGAAGTTTTAATTTCTGAGCTAGTATGGAGTTACAGTGGTGGAGAGTATAAAATTTATATTCACAGAAAACGTTCGAGTTTATGTATTTGAATCTCAAAATAAATGCAGAAGGGAAATTGCTTTTCAAGCCCAGGCCAATATATGTTAAACTACACTGCTTATTACCAAGTCTTACATACACTTTCAAAAACCAATTTTCTAGATTTGCCCTCTTACATCAAGTCATGGTAGGTTATGTTTCAAATGAGATCTTGCAACTAAAGATCATCTCAGTACTTGGGTCGATAAAGTTCAACTGAGAACAGGTTTTGTTTGTATTTGGGTTGTTAATACATAAGCGTGAAGGTTGTGTCACTTTTCTCTCCTTTGTCTTGAAACAGGAGTCTGACTTGAGATTGTGAACCATTTGAGTTTGGTTAGCTTGGTATAACTGGAAGACTTCTAATATGTAGTCTACATTTTTCAAAAGGGTTTTCATTATTATTAAATTAGTGTGTTAATGACAGCACATTAGACTGTAGCTCTGAAAGAACTATTGTGTAACCCTAGTAGATTCATCTCCTTTTGTGCCCAAGCAGACTGACTGCAAACTGTTGTGTGAATGTTTCCGTAGTCATACTTTGAAACTGGGTATCATGATAGCTTTCTCTCCCCTTTCAGCTTACATCAATGATGTCAGTCCCCTTCTTTGGCTAAGCTTCAAATAAATAAATGAGAAAACATTATGCCGAGTTACAGGTTTGCCTGAAAACCAGCTGCTTTAATTTCTCTCTCTCTCTTTTTTTTTCTTTTTTTTTTTTTTTTCCAAATCTGTTGGGGGATTTAATCCAGAGCAAAAAAGACACATCCCTGGAAGCTGGCCTTATAGCAAAGGTGTATAATGCTGTCATATCTATGTATGGCTATTATGGTGGCACTCAAATTCGAACGTCATCTGTGTGAGGTGAGTCTGGAAGGTACGCACATGATACTGCAACACATTCAGAATAGTTCTGACTGGGGAGATGATGACTTCTTTGAGCCAAATAATCAAGGGCTGTGCTCTCCAAAAATTGACTAATCTCCTCAATGTACAAAGCAGACCCAGACTATTTCAGGCATAGGAGACTGGTGCTTCTTGGATGTATAGATACGTATCTGTTCCTGAAGTGATGTAGATACCTATTATATGTACTCTGGGCCTGTACATGACAGCTGTTCTACCATTAGTGCAGTCAAGAATTAAATATGCAGAAGTACATTCTGGGCAAATGGTACTGTATGACAAAACTTCTCAAAATGCTTTATTTTAAAAAATTACTTTTGGCAATGATGCTGTTGAAATGAGTTTAACAGACTGTGGAACGTGTCTGCACTGTGATTGCATCTCAGTGGTAACTTGGTCATTGGGAACGCTGAAACATGAACTAGAACGGAATTCTTTTACACTCAAAGCGTTTGCTGGTTTCTTTTTTACAAACACTGGTTTGTACATAATTTGAATTGAATGTGAATGTTTTTTAAACACCTTTCTGGTTCTTGATAAGATATGTTTTTGATAGATTATTGCGAATTTTCCTGTATTTCTCTAATTATTAAAATAAAAGTTGCATGGATCCTGACTTACCTTGCCTTTACTATATTATTTTAAAGCCAGCACTTAAAGCTGTTGGAGGCCTAAACACCGTAGCTGTTTTTACTCAGCATTCAGGGAGTAAGATTCCTGTCTTAAGTAGCTGCATTATTTCCTAGCAGAAGAGCTTCAAACTGATTTCTGTAGAAGTACTTTCTTCTAAAAGCTGCTTACTGTGTTCACTTAAAGAGTTGGTCAAAGCCTGTTGCAAAAGCACCCATAAGATATAATTAAGGCATGAAAAAATGATGTAAGATTATACTGAAACACCAGTTGGCACAATGTGGATCAGTTACCCAGGAAAAATACATGGGATGCTCAGAAAGCAAACACTTCATGAATAGTAGTGTGTATTGTTATTTAGGTGTTGATTTCATGTCAATATGGTTGAAACAGAGTTTTTCCTTAGCAGCATTTTTGTTATGTGGAGAAGCATTCACTGCCAAGTTCAAATTTGTCTTGAGTTAACTGACTGCTATTGAAGTTGTTTCTTTGGGGAATTGCCTTGTCTCTGTATGGAAGGCCTGCATGGAAGACCTAAAGAAAGGTCCATCCTGACAAGTAGAAAGTGAAGCACAGGTGGTAGGAGGCCTGCATGGATGAGGAGGAGTTCCTAACTGAACCCAAACAGGAATTGTAGAAGAGATGGAAGGAGGGGCAGATGACCCAAGAGGAGCTTGGAGTTGCTTTCTGGTCTTGCAGGGTTAGGCTTAGGAAAGCCAAGGCCCCTCTGGAGTTGAATCTGGCAAGGGATGTGAAGGGCAACAAGAAAGGATTCTACAACTATATAACCGCAAGACTAGGGAAAAAAGGTGCCTCCCTCCCCTGCTGAATGGGACACGGGAACTTGTGACAAATGACGTGGAGAAGGCTCAGGTACTTGTTGCCTCCCTTGCCTCAGTCTTTATTGGTAAGACTGGCCTTAAGGAATTGCATGCCCCTGAGACCAGAGGGAAAGTCTGGAACAAGGTAGACTTACCCTTGGTGGAAGAGGCCGGGTTAGGGAAGCATGTAAATGAACTGGATGTACTTAAGTCTGTGAGGCCTGACAGGTTGCACCCGTGAGTTCTGTGGGAGCTGGGTGATGTCCTGGTGAGGCCACTCTCAATTTTCGAATGGTTGTGGCAGTTGGGAGAGTTTCCTGAAGACTGGAAGAGAACAAATTTCACTCCTGTCCTCAAAAAGAGCAGGAAAGAATTGGGGAGCTACAGGCCAGTCTGCCTTACCTCAGTCCCTGGGAAGTTGACACAGATCATCATCGTGGAAAGTGCTTCCAAATACATGAAGGACAAGAGAATGATTTGGATTAGTTAGCATGGATTTACAAAGGCAAAATTATGCTTGATCAGCCTCGTTGCCTTCTACAATGAGGTGACTGACGCCCTTGCTGGATGAGGGGAGAGTGGTTGTTGTTTACTTCAACTTCTGTGAAGCTTTTCACA